AAAGGACGGGGTTCCCACCCAGCTGCATTCTCCATCCACAGTATGGCCTTGGGCAAATAGCCTAACTTTAATAGGCCTCAGTTTCCCCACTTGTAAAATGAATAAGACCATGCCTACCTCATAGGGCTTCAGTAAGGATCAAATAACAATGTGTTTGTTTCGTAAACTGTAAAGGAAAGTGCACAGGAGAGGTGGGTTGTTATCTAGAAAATGCATCCCAATAGACTCTCTTTCCTTTGTCATGCTGAATGCTGGACCCATAAGGTACCCTGTTTTGTTTCAAAGCATGTCATTGGTTATTTGAGGTGAGGAAGTTTGTTGTGTTTTATTTCTTTATTTTAATCAGCTAGTAAAAGTTGTATATATGGTTTTGATTTATCTTTAATTTTGGTAAAATATTTGTATATAATATAAACTTTGGAGTTTAAACCATTTTTAAGTATAAATTCAGTGGCAGTAAATACATTCACAATGTGCAACCAACACCACTATCTCCAAAACTTTTTTTTATCACCCCAAACAGAAACTCTATACCCATTAAGCAACAACTCTTCATTTCTCCCTTCCTTCTGCCCCTGGTAACCTCTAACCTTTCTGACTTTATGAATTTGACTATTCTAGATATTTCATATATGTGGAATCTAACAATATCTGTCCTTTTGTATCTGGCTTATTTCACTTAGCATAATGTCTCCAGGTTGCATCCATGTTGTAGCATGTGTCAGAATTTTATTTTTTATGACTAAATAATATTCCACTGTGTGTGTATATATATATATATACACACATACACCACATTTTGTTTATCCCTTCATCTGTTGATAGATACTTGGTTTGTTTCCACCTTTTGGCTATTGTGAACAATGCTGCAATGAACACTGGTATACAAGTATCTGTTTGAGTCCCTGTTTTTTAATTCTTTAAGGTTATGTACCTAGAGTGTCATTGATTTTTGACAGTTTTTGAATATGAACTGCGTCAAAGGGAAGGGTCCTTGGGAACAGGACCCAGTGTCTTTGAGTAGGGGAAGGAGAGGGGCAGAGAAGGGGGAAAATTCCCATGTGGATGTAATTAGAATAATAACACCTATCTTGTGTCTATTGCATAACACTCCACAAAACACTCTTTAGGGTGTCCCCTAACACACCAGGAAGTATAGCCAGAGTTTCAGAAGTCACAGTTTCCTCCTTTCCCTCCTTCCTTCCTTCTTTACTTCCTTTCTTCCTATCTAGGCAAGGAAAGTAGCTCTGAGCTGCTTCAGTCATCATATTCTTACTTATTTTAGGTATGGCAGAATTAAAATTTTACATTGCAACTCTGCACTTTTACAACTAAACAAGTTCTAGAAAAAGCAAAACTAAGCCAGCATGGTGGTTCATACCTGTAATCCCAGCACTTTGGGAGACAGAGACAAGAGGATTGCCTGAGGCCAGGGGTTCAAGACCAGCCTGGGCAACTTGGTGAGACCTTGTCTCTACAACAAATCAAAAAAATTAGTTGGGCGTGGTGGCTCATGTTCATGTCTGTAGTTCCAGCTACCTGGAAGACTGAGGCTTGCTATGTTGCCCAGGCTAGCCTCAAACTCCTTTTTTTTTTGAGTCACAGTCTTGTCAACCTGGGCAACAGTGAGACTCTGACTCAAAAAAATAAAATAAAATAAAATAAAGAAAAACTATAGATACAGAAGAAAGATTAGTGGTGACCAAAGGCTGGGGTTGAGGGAGGGATTGACTACAGAAGGGTTCAGGTAAATTTTGGAGAGTGATGAAAATGATCTTGATTGTGATGGTGATTGTGCCACTTTATTTATTTTTTATTGTTTGTTTGTTTATTGAGTAGGAAACTCACTCTGTTGCCCAGGCTGGAGTGCAGTGACACGCTCACGGGCCCCGCAGCCTCCACCTGTGGACTCAGGCAATCCTTCCACCTCAGCCTTCCAAGTAACTGGAACCACAAGTGCATGCCACCATGCCTGGCTAATTTTTTTGATTTATTATAAAGACGAGGTCTCGCCAAGTTACCCAGCTGGTCTCAAACACCGGAGCTCAGATAATCTGCTCACCTCAGTCTCTCAAAGTGCTGGGATTACAGGCGTGAGCCACTGTGCCTGGCCTTATGCATTTTTTAAAACTCACAGAACTATACACTTAAAAGGGTGACTTTTACTATATGCTACATATAGTAACATATACTATAACATATAGTAAAATTGTACCTTAATTTTTAAAGAGAATTAATGAATAAATCAATGAAGAAAAAACGGAGACCCTAGGCTCTCATATTTTTGCATCTCTTGAGAACTTTGCAAGTGACAGCACCCCTAATTTTGTAGTATTATAGCATAAATGTATGTATCTTCATTCATTCATTCTAAAATGAAAGCCCTTGAATCCACCATTTAACTATTACTTAAAATTAAATCTACATATGAGTTCCTCTTCTATCCCTGCATCCTCTCCCAACCTTGTTTTCTTGTTGTTGTTTTGAGACAGGGCCTTGCTATGTTGCCCAGGCTAGTCTCAAACTCCTGGAATCAAGTGATTCTCCTGAGTAATTGGGATTACAGTTGTGAACCACTGCACCAGACCCCCTGCTCTTTTCTTAGTTTTTTTTCCCACATATAAATTAGGTTGAACCATATAATTTGTCTTTTTTTTATTTTTATTTTTTATTTTTTTGAGTCAGAGTCTCACTCTGCCGCCCAGGTTGCAGTGCAGTGACATGCTCACAGCCACCACAACCTCCACCTGCTGGGCTCAGGCAATCAGTCTTCCAAGTAGCTGGAACTACAGGCATGCACCACCGCACCCAGTTAATTTTTTGATTTATTGTAGAGATGAGGTCTCACCAAGTTGCCCAGACTGGTCTTGAACCCATGGGCTCAGGCAATCCTCTCATCTCCACCTTCTAAAAGTGCTGAGATTACAGGCATGACCCACCACGCCTGGCCCTTTTTAAAAAAATTAATAGGCCGGGCTCGGTGGCTCAGCCTGTAATCCCGCACTTTGGGAGGCCGAGGTGAGTGTATCGCCTGAGCCCGCAGGTTCGAGATCTGCCTGGGCAACTTGGCGAGACCTCATCTCTACAAAAAATTAAAAAATCAGCCAGGCGTGGTAGTGCGCGCCTATAGTTCCAGCTACTTGGAAGGCTGAGGCGGAAGGATCGCCAGAGCCCAGCAGGTCGAGGCTGTGGTGGCCGGGAGCAGCTGCTGCACTCCAGTCTGGACAACAGAGTGAGACTCCAACTCAAAAAAAAAAAAAAAAAAAAATAATACATCAAAACAGGTCAAATAACAGCAGTTTCATATGGTTCAACCTAATATTCTGCCTAAACATGGTTGTTCCAGTCATTGTTTAAACAAAAAAGATTTCATTTCATAGGTGATCTTCTGGGACTTGCCTTTTTCTACTCCATACTATATTACCATGGTCCAGCCATGTTGTCATTTTTCATTCATTTTCTACTGCCATATCATTAATATATTTGCATGAAGATTTCATATTTCTTTCTCTCCTATCAGTGGCATTGGGTGTTTTCAGTTTGGGACTACTATGAACAATGTTTCTACTAGCATTCTTGCACACATTCCCTCCTGGTACATGTGTGCAAGAGCTTCCTGTGACAGTACCATAGGAATGGACTTGCTGGGTCTTTAAAGTACACAGATGTTCAACTGTACACAGTGTGACTCGTGCTCTGAGCACCAAATGAGAATACAATGCGCCACTTTCCCCAGGAGGCAATGTGGACAAGATGTGGTGGGAGGGGTTGCCATGAAGGTCTCTGGTAGAACATGAACACCTATGCCTAACTCATGCCAGTAATCTCTTTCTACATCCTTTATCTCAGTTTGTGTCCATCATCTCTTTTAATCCTCCCAGTTGGGAAGAGGTACTACTGTCTCCACAGATGAGTCTTAGAGAAGGAAAGTGCCTTGCCCAAACAGTTTGTGCCAACTGCCTGAGCAAACAATGTCCCCTCTCTAAGCTTCAGTTTCCTGTTCTCTAAAATGGGAATGGTAATACCTGACCCATCTCACAGATAAGTGGAAGGATTAAATAATATTATACAAGAAAGGGGCTTAGCATGAATCCTGGAGATGCTCCCTGAAAGTCAATTGTTTATTGGCACTATTGTTATTAAGTTGTTATTAAGGGAAGCAGGAACCCAAGATAGTCTGAGTCCCGACTTCTTACCATCCAATGGTATTGCCTCTTGCAGAGAACCCCCTGGGATGTGGTGATCCTGGCCAGTTTGGGCTATCTCTGCTGATCCAGGATGTGTCTTTCAGAGCTGCACAACCTGGTCCCCTCCTTTACCCTACTCCAGGTCCCAGAGCTGAGGTGTGTGTCTTCACCTGCAGATGTCCCCAGATAGAAGAGAAGGTGAACTGAACAACAGGCAGAGGATCCGGGCTCCCAGTTCTGCCTCAGGGAAAAGGAAAAAATCAGAGCACAGCGCTCATTCTGCAGATAATGTATTTGTTCAATATCCTAGTATGGGCCAGGACCTGTGCTGAGCAACAGGATCATAGGGGAACAAGACCAGATCCTATAAGGTCGGAGACCAAAGGAGGAGACAGAAGGCAAGAAAACAATAGTGTGCTGAGTTTTACGTTGAAGAAATACAGGAAAGGGTTCTACAGAACAGATAACGAGACAGGCTTAGGGGTCAGAGAAAGCTTCCCAGGAGAAACCTCCTCTTTGAGTTGGAGCGGTAAGGCCTGGCAGGCGCTCCCCAGGTGCTCAGAGACGGCTGGGACACCAACTGCTGTAGCGGAGGAGACTAAGTGCCTGCGCCTCTCTACCCCTCCCCGCCAGCCCTCACTTACCCAGACCAGGCTGAACCGGCCCGGCGGCGGAGCCGGGCCGTGGGCCCTGCCCAGAGCCCAGGGGCGGGGCCTCGGCCCTGGTACTCCGCGGCGGCGCTTCGCGGAGGCAGGAAGTGTGTCCCCAACGGCTGCCCGTGCAGTGTTCCCGCGAGACGCTCACCTGCGCCCCAGGTGAGCGGCGAGGGGGCGGAGGAGGGGCTGAGCCGGAGGCTGCTCACCTGGCGGACAGGTAAGTCTCGCACGGGCCCGAGGGGCGCAAATCGGGACGGCGCCAGCGTGGGGAGCCCCCCGAGGCTGCGCCTGGACGAGGGCGGGAGCCGGGGCTCGGTTCTCGGGGACCACCCTCCCACTTCCGGGGTGCGCGGGCCGGGCCGGGGAGCGGCCTGAGCGGGCGCCCGGGCTGGGCGAACAGAGTGGGGTGAGGGGGCCTGCGTTCGCCCTGGGGGCTGCCCTGGCTGGAGACGGGAGCTGCGCTCACCGGGGCAGTGTCGGCGTGGGGGCAGCGCTCCCGGAGGAGCGGTGTCAGGACTGGGGAGAAGCCGGGTCCGCCGCGGACGGCCCTTGCAGCTGGAGAGGGTAGCGCTCGCCCCGAGGGCAGTGCTGGGGTCGGGGATGTGCTCGTCGGGGGGGCAGTGCTGGCGTCTGGTTCTCCCTTGCCAGAGAGGGGGTCTGGTGGATGTGCTTGTCTGGGTGCAGTGCTGGGGTCTGGTGTCCGCAGATGGGGGAGTCTCCCGTTGCACCTTTGGAGCAGGAGACCGAGGGTGTACGCCCGCCCCGCGCCCGAGCCGAGGGCTGTTTCTTGAACTGGGCTGGAGTGCTCCTCCCGGCCGGGTGTGCAAAGCTTGGCGTGGGGCTGGGCCAGAGGCTGGTGCGACCAGACCAGTCCTGGGGACCCTGGGAGGAGGGGACGGTGTAGAGACAGACCCTTGAGTATGTGTGTGTACACAAGGACTAAGGGAGGAGAAGGAAGCATCAATGAGAAGTACGGGAGGGCGGGCCGACCGGCCGGGACCGTCTCACCTGGGAAGATCCCTGCAGTGCTTTCGAGCGCCGGTTGACCGAGCCCTTCCCGGGTGCCAGGTATTACAGGAAACCTCCTGCACGCAATATTTCATTTAAATCTTCCGGGGGCCCTGATACTAATCTCTTTTTAAAGTTGAGGAAACTGAGGCTAAGAGTGTTGCCCCAGACTACAGTAGGTCCAGGGATCCTCCTTTCACTAAACCAGTGACTTGGGTTCCTGGGCAGGATGAGGGGGTCGTGGGGGGACCAGCGGGACACAGGAGCAGGAAGGGGGGAGATGTAGCCTGGAAGAAATGAGCTGAGTTTGACTTCAGGAGGGTTCAAGGGCTAGAGGGGAGGGAGAAGATGAGGACAGGCACTGTTCTTGTTCTAAGTCTTCCCTTCTCCCCACCCCTATTGGGGCTGTGTGGCATAAAGCGATGTACATGGGCTCCAGAACCTGGTACAAATCCCGCTCCAAAATTCTCCAGCTATGTGTTTCTGGACAAATCATTTTTCCTCTCTGAGCTTCAGATTCCTGATCTGTAATGTGGTTATATACTACTTATTCACAAAACTATTGAGAGTTAAATAAGGTGAGTCCTCTGGCCCATTCACTGCTGTTTTCTTAGCATTCAGCACAGTGCTGGGCATATGGTCGGTACTCAATAAATACTTGTTGAATGAAATTTAATCAATAGTAGCAAGTCCTAAAGCCTTGAAGGCGGGGGAGGGGACAGTGACCCAGCCCATTATCTGTAACCCCTTGATACTCTTACTCCAGATACAGCAGAGTGATTGAACAGTGTAGATGCACACAGCACCTCCTGATGAAGAGTGAGCCTGGAAGACTCAGGACTCTCAGGATGGACCCTCCTTGGGCACACTCTTGTCAATGGAGCTGGCATTTGGCAGCTTTGAGTGCTGCTTTCTTCCCACATGACACATGGGATGGATAGTGGATCAGAGTCCTCTTTTGAGATGGGATAAGGTAGTGGCCAGGCTGATTGTGTACAAATAGATGTGTGGGTTTGCACAGTTTATTTAACCCGTGTGTGCCTCAGTATAGCAATATAGGTAATAATACTACAAAGTTGGTTGTGATAATTAATTGGTTTATTACATCTAAAGCACTTAGAACAATTGTAAGCTCTTTGACTAGAGCGCAAACTCCTGAGGTTAGGGAATTTTGTGTTTTACCACTGCATCCACAGAATTTAGAACAGTGTGTGGGACACAGTAGGACTTCAGTAAATATTTATTAACTGAGTGAGTGAATGAATCCACACCCAACTCTGTATGTCTCAAAGGCAGAGATTTTAACCACTTGCTTCTGGATTGTAAGGGACTTAAAAGTCACCTATTTATCCAGGCTCGGTGGCTCAGCCTGTGATCCCGCGCCTTGGGAGGCTGAGATGAGTGGATTGCCTGAACCCGCGGGTTCGAGACCCGCCTGGGCAACTTGGCGAGACCTCACCTTGACAATAAATAAATAAATAAAAAATCAGCCGGGCGTGGTAACACGCGCCTGTAATTCCAGCTACGTGGAAGACTGAGGCGGAAGGATCGCCAGAGCCCAGCAGGTCAAGGCTGCGGTGGCCGGGA